ACCTGCTCGACCACGGCGACTTCAAGCTCGTCTAGATCGTCGTAACGTATTTCTCCCATATTTCCCTTCAGCTTGGGAAATAAGTCATTGTCACAGGGACTAATATCCGGGGAATAAGGTGGGTGAGCTAATATTTCCCATCCGTATGACTGAAAAAGTGACGTTACCCCCTCTTCACCGTGTGCCGTTGCGTAATTATGAAGGATTATTGGATCAATTGCTAAAAGCTCAATACGCTTTTTTCCGAATCGCTGGTCTTAAATGTTTTTAAGGTACTCCTTTAAAGTACTTGCCATTGATAGTTTTTCACTTTGCACTTGATAACTTGTAAATAAACCATGAATAGAGTATGCAAATATCATCAGCATCTTAAGTTTTGACTGTACCCGTCTAAACTTTGCTGGCCTCGGAGAGTTAGGAGTTTGCCACTCAGCGGAGTGTCTTTTTAACTCTGGCTCATACGATCTTACCCAAGTTTCAGCAATAGCCACAATTCTTGATAAAAAGTCTCTGCCCTCTTTACTTAACCGTGAAAGATGGTTAGTAGCGATGTTCAAACGACGTTCTGCCTGCTCCGACGTCAAGCGATGTGGTACCCATCTTGCTGAAACCTTGTGCATTTTTAAATGGTTCCGAAAAATTGTATGAACCGACCCCACTTATTTCCAGTTCCTGTGCAAATTTTATACACAATTTCCACCTGTCATGATTTAAAAGCTTTTTTACCTGGACCGTACTATACGAGTTAGTAGCTGTAACATTTCTCCTTGGTCGATGGTTATCTTTAACACTGTCCCTGCCGTCCTTGAATTCTTTGGCACAATCTAGTTATTTGACTATACGAAAGAACATAGGTGCCGCAAGCTTCCAGTTATGCATTGAATATCTCTTTCGCTCTTTTCTTAAGCTAAACTTAAATTTTGATGTTAATGCGCTGTTCCTGATTTTAAGAAAAACATTTTTAAGTCAACTTTTTATGTCATTAACAAATAAAGTGCGCGTTTCATCCGTTGTCTGTTGAATCTTTGAAAAAAAAATCAATATATTTTGTATTGTTATGAGAATTGTTCTTTCACAAGAACAGAACAAATTTGTAATTACTTTTTAGGTGAATTTTTCGCAAATTGTTGAAGGTATTTATCAAGTTGGTGGATATTCCTTGAATGCGTCAGATTATGTCACCATATTTTCACATGACTATTTCAATAACACCAACACTGTGCTCAGTAAACACTCAGACAGGTAAACATTGGAAATAGTGTTGTTTTAAAAAGTAATGTAGATCAAACATCTCATAAACAAGTTATTCGTTTAATAAATAAATTAAGTATTGAATCAACAAAAAAGCGATGAATATATTTAAACGCATGATAGTAAGTTTTCCATAATTATGATTGTCGTCATTTGAGCCAAATCCACATTTCCTGTTTTTCAATATTTAATGGTGATAAATTTATTTTACAAACCAAAAATTAAGAAAATATTAGCACAGAGAGCGTATGTAATGTGTTAAGATAATGTTCAATAAGTATGTAAATTTAACACTTATTCTTCCAGTGTTATTGCTAATTATATCGTGACCAAGGTTGTTATGACACAAGTCAACTTTCTGCCACAAATCTATACAGATATTACGGACAGATTCCTAGCAGTAAGTGGAATATTTTCTTCGACAAACATTATACAATTTACACTCTATTCATTCATTGGGAGTAGAAGAACTGTCGTGCATTATGTTTTATTGTATTATATGTTTTCATTATTTTATTATATCAATTTAAGATCGATTGTGAAACAAGTTCTTGCAACTTATATAATCACGTTCTAGTCTGTTTCCTGGAACCAACATTACCGGTGTCATATATAGAAAAATGACTGTGACCCGAGTAATTTTATATAATAATGCATAAGGATTATATACAAGCAATTTATTTTACAGGCTACTGGACAGGCGAGTAGTTCTGTTTTAACTAGGCATGATTCTTGTGTTAGTATGTTGAAAAAAAGGATGCCTGACGTTATAACTCGAATCTTCGCCATGGAAGCCTTTCTTGAAAAGGATCGACGTAAAGTAAGTTTTAACTCAATTATTAGTAAAATGTTTCTGTGACAAGAAATACGTAACATAGTCAAATAATGAATCGAATTACATGCATTACATAATACCAATCAAACCCAGCTCGAGCATCTATGATATTAACATGTGATTTTATTTATTCTAATCACCGAAAATCATCTACATTATTATCAACAATGCAGAATTTAATTTTATGTGTGTTAATGATGTAAATTGAACATTCAAATTTATGATGATGTAAACAGAATCACCTATCAAACAATCATGTAAATATAAACAACAAAGCGAACACAAAATTTGCCTGGGTTAACATATTAATTTCATAGAACTAGTCTTTGCAAGAAATATATTAATTCAAAATTATTAAACAATTTCATATAATTGCAGGTCTTGGAGCTGGTGGAGGATATAAAGAAATCCTTTAAGAAAATTATAGATGCGACCAAGTGGATGTCAAAGTTCACTAAGCGTGCTTCAAAAGAAAAGGTAAAATAGTTATTATCTCAAACACAAGACAGAAAGGTTTCATAATGTGCAGGGATATTTATCATGTTTATAGATTTGTAGTTTTGAACATAACAGAAACATTTTTTTATTAAAATAACGCAAAACTTGGCAAACGCATGTAGATGTAATTCTGGACAACAAATTAAAATTGTAAAGACATAAAATAATTATATTGTCGGGGCTTTTTAAATCAAAGAATGATGTGAAAAACAAAACGAAGGCGAACAGTGTTGGATTTCATTTGCTCTGGCATTGCATTCCTATAATTTTTTGAAAATGTGCAAGATGACATGTGCATGTCTGTTGTATATAGTAACAGGAGCTTGACTTATTTGAAGTTTTTCTTTATGTTATGCTTTATAGTAAGATAATGCAATTCTCAGGTTGATAAAATGGGAGTGTTAGTAGGTTACCCAGAAGAAATATTAAACGATGCGCTTTTAAACTCGGTCCATAAGCAAGTAAGTATTTCACGATTTCTAAAATACTATTTGACGTCGATGCATTGTATTGCCTGCATTAGCTTTGGTGAGCTTTTGTTATCACAATTTGTCCATCGTCATTGAATCCGTTCGTCAGTGAGTCCGATTTTGTCAATTTTATTAAACGACATCTCCTCTGAAATCGCTAAAACAAATTTGATGATTTTTTTCTGCGAATTTTCAAGCATTAAGTTTCAGTAAAAATTTTCAAATGTTGGATGGCCCATTAAATATTTTGGTAAGAAAGGTTAGAAGAGCTTTAAAGAATTAAATCTTATAAAATTCTTCTCTGAAAGTGCAAGGCCTAGAGCTTATATAATATGTATCGAGCATCATGCCATCAAATCTTAGAAAATCGTTCAAAATATTGCCTTAGGGTAAAAATTATCCCCGATCAAGGTGACAATGGCTTTTCATTATACAGTTAAACTTGATTCTTTAAAACTGCATGGGTTATATTTAAAATATTCAGCATTAAAGATTTTCTACTGGACATGTACAAAGATGTTAAGATTATAGCCCTTGTTTATTCATTTTATAATAAAAACTCGGAAACAATTTTTTTCTCGAAAACTATTAAGGCGAAAGCATGAAGAATTGTCAGTTAGACCTCTACTGAGTTTGTGCACATCATAGCGGTTCTAAATTGGCCCCTACCTTAGGCGGTCACTGATTTTCCTTTTAAATGGTATGTATATAGAAAAACTTCTTTCTCTTTTCAACAATTACGACTAATGTTAAGATATTAAGTATTTAACATGTCTAATAGACCTCTACCAAGTTCGTTCAAATTGCCCTTATTTGTTTGAATTTCCCTTAAATGTATTTAAACAGTACAAACATGAAAATTGCTTCTTCTATAAAACCAACGAAGGCTTCAGCTAAGATCTTTGGGATTGTACCGTTGTCTAATGCCTCTGCCGAGTTATACAAAATAACCCTAGGGTCCTAATTTGCCACGGCCTAAGGGGTCATATATGTTCATTTTATGTATATAAATAAAATGGCTTAGATAAATGACATAAAACATTGTTTCTTTGCCTTCTACCGAATTGTTAAAATTATAGTCCTTTAGCCCAGAATCTTGAAGATACTTTTGACTTTCCGTACAATTATTGACTATTGATAGCGGCCAGTGACTTCCATAACAATCGTTTATTTTTCAAAGCAACCATTGACTTTTCATAGAAAATAGTGAATTCTAAATCAAACAATTACTTTCTATAGCAACCAATGCCTTTCCATAGCAACCATTGACTCTCTCTGGCAAAAACCGACTTTCATAGCAAACATTTACTTTCCATAGCAACCAATGACTTTTCCTATCAACCATTGATCTTTCATGGCAACCAGTTACTCTCATGGCAATAAGTGACTTCCATAGCACTTTTCAAAGCAGCCACTGACTTTTACTTCGCAGGCAGTGACTTAAAAATTCACACTTTATTTTCATTGCAACCAGTGACTTTCATGGCAACCATTGACTTTCCAAAGAAAACATTTCGTGAAATACTTGATATTGTTGACATCTGACACGTTTGTTAGAATTATATCCCTGAGGCTAAATCAAATCTCAAATCCACCCAGAAGGACTAGCAACTATTTACTCTTCATAGCAACCAGTCACTTCGTTTCAACTAAGGAATTTCAAGACAAACCGTTGGTGTTTTCTTAGCAACTTTGTTTTCTACTGTTTTCTACAAGACTTGTATCAACTAACTTATTTAAAAAGGAATTAAAATATAAACCTTGAATCTTCCATCAGGATTTTGTTGTTAACTTCAGTCAGGTGAGCGATAACAGGACCATCACTGACCTCTTGTCTATAATAACAGTGATCTTTGTTCAATTCATAGATTAACAGATCTGACAGTTTTTTTAATAATATAGCACGTGCAACAATATTCGCTTCAGTACGAAATATTATAGAAAGTTTCAAGGAAGATCCCTTTGCCACTATAACCTCACTGCCTTAAAGTTATCGCACTGGACTGTAACAATTTATGTTGCTTATCTACGAGTCGATTGATTTTAGGCAGGACAGAACTAACTTTATCATTCTTTTAGCTTTCCATCACCCCTGAGAGTCCATTCACAACAGCCGTTAGCATGTCTAAAGCAGAAATGGTCCGCGAAGCACGATTATTGCGGGAACCTGTTTTTCTTGATCCGTAAGCTATTATTTTATTCATGTTTTATATATATTTAATACCATACAAAAATAGCTTGAATTCGGTAGTCTAATTGATTGCCACATACTCATAAAACGTTCCAATATTTATAAAATATGTTAACGATAAGATTTGTCACCAAATGTTAGAAAATTGTTTGCATACCTACGTCAAGATCTACTTCAAGTAAACACTTTTTATGCTTGTTTATTCATGCTTTGCTTATATTTTTTCGACTGTTTATAAAAACGTTTTCAAATGCTATAGCTATCGTTAAATTAACAAAATATCTTATAAAATGCAAAAAATGGATTACTCGTTACTTTTTATTTTAACGTTTTCATCTACTTAGAGATCAATTATCTTACTCGTACAGTCATACACTTGTTTTAGCTGGTTCCTTCATTATAAACGATATTTAGTTCATATTCTAATTTATTGGTTTGCAAATGAGGTGTATACTTAGTATTTTGCTTTCCTACCTGACACGTATCCGTTATACAAATTTTACTATTTAAATGATACGCATATCAACGACGATTTTTCAGATGGGTGGACTCACCATTAACTATAAGCGCAATGTACAACCCTTACTCAAATACCATTAGTAAGTATAGTCATGTTGGTTTTTTGTTGTTGTTGTTGTTGTTGTTTTTAAACTTTACTTTCCTTCGTAATTAAACATATGGAAATGCAAGCTAGAAGTTCTTCTTTTTAAAATTACTTAGCAGGGAAATACCTATGTTAATAGTATTGAGTGATGTTAAGTCATTTTTTCGTGAATTGTAAATCAGATAAGGTTGATTTGTTTAGATACATGTCATACAATAAGTATGAATAAAGAATGCATTGAAAATAGTTAAAATATATATACATGTAATAAGTATAGGTCTGTATTATGATAACTGTAATCAAAGCTTACCATATGGAAACGCAACTACATTTTAAGAAAACTTATTGTTCGTGTACATTTCTTTATTCCTAATATAATTTTAATTTCCCTTTATTAGATAAATTAATTCATTTCGAATCCTCAAGAATATAGTAAAATGATACAAGGCTTGTGTAAATTATGTCTAGTTTGTTAGATTTTTATCAAAGAAAATAGGTATGTCATATCACGTAATTTGCAAATTTAAACAGGCTACTGCAGCAATGTTAACAAATTGAATATTTTCCAACAGGAAAACCACATCATTGAAATAAATTATAAATACAAATGATAGTATAATCATCTTAGAATTAGCAATGTTATGCAATTTATTATATATTTATTTTGTTCATTTATTCAGAAAGAAACAAACTTATTAATGTTATGTTACATTGAGTTGATTTGTTTTTTCTTGCTAGGATTTCAAAACATCACATATTAAAACAATTATTTGACACAACATAAGTTTAATGGTGACTATGTATTCCTACATCATTTATGTATATAATATTATATATAATAATAATGATGATGATGATGATGATGATGATGATGATAATGATAATGATGATGGTGATGGCAATAAGATGATGAAGATGATAATAATAAAAATTTTAATAATAAATAAAACTTAGTATTATGTCTATTATTATTATAATTATTATTATTATAATTATTATTATAATCATTATTATTATAAGGGTGATGATGCTGATGACGAAGACGATGATCACGATGATGATGATTATCATCATCATGATCATGATGATTACATACATTTGTTTCAGATTCCAATTTTACTTGCATTTACATAATATGTCTTTTTCCTTGACACAGTTCAGTAATGAGGTACAATCCAAGACAATTATAATGACTATGTCTCCACTCATATAAACACATATACATGTACATGTAGATATATATTGGTTTTGTGTGTGTTTTATAGAACAATGTACATTTTGATTTTAGATACAAAGTAGGAAAAATGCAGAAGTTAAGTTTTCTCTCAGTGATTAATTACAATGATACATCGTACAATAAAGTCGATTGGTCTACAATTGTCACATTTTCCACGAGTATTTCAAAATATTGATAACAAATCGAAAAATATAGAACTGTATCTTTTCGATAATCTTATAAAATGTACCTGGAATGAAAATGTTGGAGTTCGAACGTGATAGAGTATGAACACATATATAAGAAATGAATTTTCTCGAACATTAACTGCTATTTATGTAATATTGGATCATGTACCTAAAACTTACATGTTCCGACAATATCTATTATATATTATTCTTTGGCAGCTTTTTTTCGTATGAGAATAGATACTACCAGCATAAATATTAAAGGTATAATAGACATTCCATTGTTGACCAATTCTGTTGTATCACCGTCGCTGATTTTTTACACTTTCGCTGTCGACAACACGACAAAGCGCCAAGCGTCACCTTATCGTATGTTCGTCTTGTCGCTAACAAATCACGTCAGATGGCGCGTTGTCTCGCGGCGTGTTGCCGTGAGGGCGCTTTGTCATTGACTCGAACGGAAGAATTCGCTTATGTGCGCTTTGATGCTCGCGAGAGTCATGTGACAACACGATAAGAAGCAAACTATTAATAGAAGCCAAGGCGCCACGCTATAACGCCCAGTTTGGTGCGATTCGCAGCGACAAGGCTAAAATTGAAAAACAATATTTGTTGTTTAGTCGTTAGCGACAACGCAATGCGCAAGAGTGTAACAATTTGCCAACTTACAAAACTTTTTAATTACTGCAACGCATTCACGGTAACCCTTGCAATGCTAACATGATATAAGAAATACAAATGTTAAGAATATATTGAACCATACTGAGTGAAGACGTCGGCGGTGTTTGTGTTATTTGAGGTCAAATATTTTGTCATGTTTGATATTGTATAGAGGAAAACCATTTGATTTAAATAAAAACACGTAGCAAAACAAACGTTAATGAAACACTACTTATCTTATTAAAATATGTATTTATTTCTGTTATAATTGAGATTTCTTAAATACTCGCCGGTTAAAATGTTAAACTATATAATTGTTGATTTGTTTATACCTTCAGAAATAAATTCAGGATTTCTTCAGGACAACGTGTACTCGCATGGCAGTCCAAAGTAAGTTTTTATATTTCATATGTTGCTAGCTCTACTTTGAGTAGGTTTGTTGCTGAACAATAAGCAAATTGTAAGCTTTGCATCGAGTAAATTTATTGCTTTATATTCAGAACAATGTTAACTCTACATTGATTTTAAAAGCTTTTAGCTCTGAATTTAGTCCAACACTAGTCAACTGTTTGTAACTTGTTTATTTTCCTTTCGGTACAAGTAATATGTTGCCACTGTGTTTGAAATGCTTTTGTTGTTAATCCTTTTGAAGCTATTTTACTCAACTTCTTCAAGTTTTATATGATTGTACTAATAAGATTAAGCTTACCATGAATGCATTCAAATGTGTGTACATGTGTATAATACATGTATGTGTGCACACGCGCTTTTTTTATATGCGTGTATATGTACATATTTGTATGTTTATTTGCTTTGCTTGTTAAAAATTCAATGAAAAATGAAGATAATTTAGACAACTTCAACAAATACAAGTCATATAGTTCATGTAAATAAAATCAATAAATAGTATAGCTTATATGCACTTATAAGTTTTGTATATGCTTCTGGCTAATTTTCCTTTGAATTGTCAATATTTTGTGTCTCTTTTTAAGGAATATTTTCTTAGAAAACATATTAGTATACATGAGTACACTTTGCAAATTGTCACTTATTCCTTTTTTTCAAGTATGATACTGACAAGAATACTTATATATCTAATTGCGTATTGAAATATGTAGTTTGCTTTATCATGTTTATGATTTAAACATACTACTATCTTTTCCTATCTATTTCAAACAAACCACTGTTGTAAAATATTTGTTGAATAACTTTCAGAGCTAATGATACTGATATTTAAATGATATGTATATAGTACAATATGATAAAATTTTGAAATACAAGTAACCATTTATAAGCATGTTTTTATACAAAATCAGGTAGTTTTAACAATATGCACACTTATTTTTATCTTAGTCTATGATTTCAGTGCTCCCTTTGGTCTTTTTATATTGTTTATTGATCTTTAAATTGTCACTTTATTACATCATGTTTTCTTTAGTTTTTGTCTTCCTCAAACACATTTTCTCCCTTTATATTCACTCTTCTTTTTCCCCAAGTTGGTTTTCTCCAAGGACATCTATTCGGAATATTGTACATGGAATGCTACGGATGCTAATAATTGATATACTTGGAGGCATGATAGTAGCGGTGCGCTTTTTGCTGTTTCTAACATCAATTACATAGCGAATAAATTGTCATGCACCACTATCCTGCACTCATACTCTTGTACATGGAAATTTTCCCTCTTACTAAATATGCTTGTTCTATTTCACATTGCTCCAAACATGATTCTTACATACTCGCTGTCTCTTAACATCAGGAATCAAGTTACAGACAACATTTAATACCCCATACAGACAGTCCTTCCATGCTATGAGTGCTACATTCAAAATGTAGCATTTACCCATCAACTCATCGCTATTCTCTCGCTAAAATGGTAATGTATTCAATGGCTTGCATATTGTTCTTATTTTATCTGGAGATATTCATCCGAATCCTGGTCCATCATCAACAAATTCCTCAACTGAATCATTGTCCACTACGTCATCTATGTCTGTCCCTGGACCTTGCAAGTCTAATGTCGTCAGGTTCCTGTTTATCTGTTCTACAATAAAATGTTCAAAGTCTGCTAAACAAAATAGAAATTCTTACCACTGAATTTAGTATGTTTGATGTTCTTGCCTTTTCAGAAACTTGGCTTAATCCCAGTGGCTCCAATTCGGACATATTTATACCATGTTTCCATGCTCCAGAAAGAAATGACAGGGTTGATGACAGTCATGGGGGAGTTTCTTTTTTTTTTTTTTTTTTCATTTATTTTTATTTTTCAAAAAACATATAAACACAATCATTCACATTTACATAGAAACTCCACATAGAAAAAAAAAAGTAAAAACAACAATTTTCAAAAAATTCAGAAAGAAAAAGAATAAATCTACTTAAAAAACTATCATTCTTACACTAAACAAAACACACACACACACACACACACACACACACAAGACAGGGGAAAAAAAGACAAGTGAATCAGTTTCATTTAATTTTTTACGTTTTATGGTTTATACGTTTAATTTACATAATATTATTGTTTTTTAGTCATCAGTATTGTTTGTTAAATTGTTAGATAATTTACTCCATTTTTGTTTGTACGATTCAATTTTATCATTTGACAGTGCAATTGCTTCTTCAATCTGTATCCTTAACAGCAAAAAGAATTTTTTAAAAATATCAAAAGTGGGCTTTCTTCCTTGATATTTCATTTTTAAAATGTAATATTTCATTAGAATAATGATATAATTTACTACATTACTATTTATATTGGTTGTAAGTTTTACAAAAAACACTGTTTCTTTACTGTATGAAAAATGAAGATTAATGGATAAGAGAAAGGAATGCAAGTTTGACCATAAATTTTGCACAATATTACATTCCCAAAATAGATGATGAAGTGTTTCTAAACTACTGCAGCAAAAATCACACAATTCACATTTGAATTGCATAGATTATATTTGAAAAGCATAGTGTTTGTTGCAGTAAGTCTATGGATGAACTTATACTGAAAATTTCTTAATGTCACATCTATAGTACATTGTAGTGGTATAGTATATATCTTAATCCAATTCAATTCTATATCTATTTCTTTTTCCCATTGCTCTTCATTTTTATTTTTTACCTTCTCATCATTTTCAAGTTGGATATTATATAAAAGTTTATTTATTGTTTTGGATTTTGAATTTTATTGAGAAGTGTATCTTGTTCATCCATATAAGTTGTGTTATTTTTTAGTTTCTCAAGGTATTGTTTTGGTATATTGTTTATTAGCATAAAGTATCTTAAATAATCAGCATTTTCTATTCCGTAAATTTCTTTAAAATCATCATATTTATAAAAGGCTTTTCTCCTATAATCATAAAGATGTTCTATATAAAGTATGCCTTTATCATGCCATGTTTTATAATAAACCAGTTTGTTGTCAATTTTAATGCTAGAATTATTCCATACTATGTCTTTAACATTATCTTTGTTTTTATTGTGCTCATGCTGAATGTGAAACCAAGACGAAAGAACATATTCATGAACGAAATATGTGGATATAAATTATTGATATCATTTTTTGAAAGATTACATTGGAAGATAAAATCATTTCCTTTTGCTTTATCTTGTGTTTTACAAAAAGTTTCCATGAACTCTCATTATCTTTGTTTACATACCTTTTTACCCAGCTTGCTTTTACTGCATTAAGATAATATGTAATGTCTATCATTTTTAGTCCACCATTTTTTATATTAAGTTTTAAAGTTTTGCGTTTTATTTTTTCTGGTTTTCCTGGCCATAAAAAGTGAAACATCGCTTTAGTTATTTCTTTCATCTTATCATTGCATGGATTTGCTAAAACTGAAAAAGGATATATTAATTTTGGCAATGCAAAAGTTTTTATCACTATTACTTTTCCCATTAACGTAAGCTTTCTGTGTTGCCACTGCTTTAAGCAATTGAAAAAAAATCTTGAAGTTTAGGTTCTAAATTTATGTTTGTATTTTTCTTGTAATATGACGAAAAAAAAAAGCCTAATGTTTTTGCTGAATCAGATGTCCACTTAAATTTTCTATTTTTTACAATATTCTATGTTAGTATCTTTAAATGACCCGACTCGTAATATTGTTGATTTCTTTGAATTAAGGTTTAAACCGGAAATTTTACTAAAATTCTGTTATCACATAGACAAGTTTTTCGAAAGACTTAACTGAACCATCGTTTACGAAAAAGTTGCATCATCTGCAAAGAAGGATTGTTTTATTTCTTTGTCTCAACTTTTATTCCTTTTATTTCACTATCTTTTTCTATGTAATTGGATAAAATTTCTAAACAGACGATGAATAATGATGATGATAAAGGACATCCTTGTCGAACACCCCTTTCTATGGTAAAAGGTTCTGAGAAATGACCATTATTTACAATAATACTTGAAATATCAGTGTAAAAAAGTTTGACCCATTGTTTAAAATCTTTACCAAATTGAACTTTTGAAGAGTATTAAAGATAAACTGATGATTTAAAACTATCAAAATGCTTTTTCATAAATCGGCAAAAGAATAATAAACCAGGTTTGTTTTCTTTTTTGAAGATATTCAATTATTTCAAAAATCATCCTTACGTTTTCACCAATGTAAGACGGTTTTTCATGAGACCTGTTTGATTGAAATAATAAAGTTGGCAAAACTTTTTTGATGCGATTAGAAATAGTTTTTGTTGCTAATTTATAATCCACGTTAAGCAAACTTATTGGTCTCCAGTTTGATATATCTGTAAAGATCTTTTTCTGGGCTTGGTATAAGGGATATAATTCCTTGTCTTTGAAGAGTTGTTAGTTTTTGATATTTTGAAAGAGTAATTAATCGAATCAAGAAAATATTTTTTGATGCTATTCCAAAATGTCTTATAAAACTCGACGGTAAGCCATCAGATCCTGGACTTTTGTTGTTTTTCATTTCTGATAAAGCTATTTTACATTTTCATATTCATTTAATATTCCTTCACATATGCACTTTTCTTCTTCATTTAATGATTTAATGTCTGTATTAAAAAATTTTAGATTTGATTTTTGTGGGGCTCTGTATTTGTATAAATTTTCAAAAAATGATTTTTCTTCTTTTAATATTTGTTTTGCGTCTGTAATTTCATTATTTTCTATTTTTAACTTGTGTACAATATAAAAAATGATTTTTCTTCTTTTAATATTTGTTTTGCGTCTGTAATTTCATTATTTTCTATTTTTAACTTGTGTACAATATTTTTCTCCGCATGCTTCTTTTCTAAGTTAGAAAAGTATTTACTATTTTTTTTCATTTTGTTCTATGTGAATAGCACGTGCTCTCAAAATCGAGCCATTTTACACGGTATTCAATAAATTTGTTCAAGTTCTTGCTTTTTAGATATCATTTCTGTATGTA